GGCCCTCTTTGAACTTCCCTCCACCTGAAGTCAGCTTACTTGGAATGAATACATTTATTGATAATTCAGGCCGACTATTGTCTCCAGGCCTCTTTATGAGCCTTGCAGGGAATGAATCATAAACTAACAAGACTTTAACTGCATTATATCTGAGGAAAATCTCTCTTGGAGTTCCCCTGTCAATTGCAAAAACCATTGATGATTAACAAAGAGACTCAGGGGCCTCTCTTGATATCTGGATAATAAAATGGGAAAAATAAACGGGGTGCTCTCTTTTCCTCTCCCTCTCCTGACAGCCCGTCAGTCTCGTGCAGCTCGCTGAACCTCTAAGTGACCGACAGTAAAAAATAAATATATTTATAATTAGTTTAGCTAGTTCCAGAGTAGATAAACTAGCTAAGTGTGTTAGGTGTAACTCTTAGTGTATTTTTGCTCGGCTCAACGGTCCGTCACAGCGGCGGAGCTGTGATCATGCAGAGCTGCGTGTTCTCCGTCAGCAGCAGCTGATCTGATCTCTCTCTCGAGTCCGGTTAGACTTCACTCGCGTCTATGTCCAAATCTGTCAGATCTAGCTAGTTCTAGTTAATTATATGAATGCCTGCTTATCAAAGGACACCTAAACAATAAGCGTTGCTTGGCAACGGCGTGTGGCCGCAAAGTATAGCGCAGCATTATGCATATGTTTATATGAGGGGTCAAAATCCCATGCTCATAAAATGCTACTATATTTTTTCTCTTCATTCCCCACGCCCCAAAATAAATAAATAAATATACCAATTTTAGGAAAAGTAACAAAGTTTGAGCAGTGTGGGTTTTATATGAACAGAGTTACACATATTTCAAAACGCGAAGTGTAACTGCAGTTTGCCTCCCTGTCAGAATGACAAAGATCCTCAGTGAAGCTCAAGCCCATGTTTCACTACATTGTACATCTTATTAAAAAGATCAGTTCAATGCAACTAATGTCGTCTTAGTGTTATTGCATGATGTTAAAATTGGTTTGCCATGAATTTAGTGATGGATTGTAAACATTTGAAGTCTAGCATTTAAGTGTTTCTCAGTTACAAGGTTGTTGTTTTAATAAATCAGACTCTGATGGTGCAGCACTGTACTGTACCTCTTTATATAGGCTTTTTTCCCTTAACAAATCGTTTTTGCGCTGATCAGGGGGTACTTGGCTGAATTTTTTTTTCAAAGGGGGTACATGAGTGAAAAAAGTTTGAGAATCACTGCTTTAGAGAATCCGACTGCACTTTCACTATCCAACGTGTTTATGATGCTCCAGCGGACGTCATGAATGTGCGTCTGCTGCTCTGGGGAAACTATGGAAACTACAGTTTTCTATACAGCGGACTACAACATGGATGTTCAATAAGAAGGAGGGACTACTGTAAACTCATCTAGAGACTCTGCACCGTGCTCTGATGCTGTTGCTTTATGCTTTATGAACGTGGACAACAGAGAAACATATTCTTCATGACCAAAGTTGGAATTGAAATAAAAAAGGAAAGTGAAACTTATGCTCGTCACCCTCTCCCTCCGGTCCACATTAATACAAATGATCCCAATACGTATGATTGTATGAACTATGAAAAGATCTTAAAATCAATACAAATGTATTTATTATAAACGTTAGTCCTTAACATCTATCACTGTGTACATCACCATTCAAACATCTTTTAAAAGTTGAACAAACCCCACACAGCTCAGTAAAGACAGTGAAATGTTGACTTTATTTGATCATTTCAGTAAAAACTAACGTTCATATTTCTCTTTTTGATTATAATACTGATGAACGTTCAGAACAAAGCACTTTGGCAACTTACCACATACGTTTTAAAAAGCTTAATAAGCACCGTAACTTTCATGATATAATTTCTCCGTCATAATCGGTTGTTTCCGTGAACGGCCGACTGTTGAGTGACGCAGATGCTGCGGCTGCAAGGCATTGTGGGGCAGCATTTTCTCCTTTCCTCAAAGGGAGGTCCAGTGGTTCCTAAGCTAAAGGAGGTTATAAAGGTAGTTTGAAACCTCCTTTCCCTTCATCTAGAGAATTGGAACGGCACTTATCATGGCTGCCACTGAGGGACTTCCAGGTCATTTCACTCCGTTAGGAAGGTTTCTAAGCTAAATGGACTATTGGAACGCAACCGAGATGTCCTTCAACATGGCGCGCTGAAATTCATTTCCGGGTCACTACCGGACGACCGAGGAGTCGAGGAGGGGAAATGAGAGAAATAAGAAAGGCCCATAGATACATACAGAGAGAGATGGATGGATGGATGGAGGGATAGATACTTCAGAAATGACAAAATTACTTAAAAATGTAATAAAATAAAGATAAACCTTACAAATGTAAAAACAATACATATCCTTAGTAAAAAATACCTATATTCAGAGGAGTATTTAAACATTGTAAAATATACAGAACAAATACTCTATAATTTACGAATCATCTGAACATAGTGTATTACTATAAAAATAGTGTACTATACATATATGTGGCTCGAGTTTTAAAAAAGCAAGTCGTCTCGATCCATAATTCCTGTTCATCAGGCATGATTCAGATAAACATAGTCTTGTGTTGTACATCATATTTCTGTTCCAGTGAGAGCACAGAGTTATGTTCTGTTGCACTGGGCTATTGTGCCAGGGTTGAGGTTATGTACTCGTAACTACAAGTGGTGCAAGAAAGTCCCAAGGTCTCTTTTGAGTATCAGTTTTATCTTCATTAACAGAACAGAAGCAGCACACCTTTTGCTGGTCCCAAAGCTCATCAGCTAAATGGTATGGTGTTTGCAGAGATCACTGATGTTGTGTAATGTCTTCTTAAAATCATTTGTTCAGTTCCTATTTGAGCAAACCCTGGCTTTTGTCCTTGAAGAGTTCTATTAGATCAGCACAATTCTTGATACACTGAGAATCACTTTCAACATCATTATTCCCAGGGAAAGTAGGTTATCCTCCTGTAACCAGAACAAATGACTGCCCTTGCATTTCTTGTCAGCAAAAGTGTCCAAAAAGAACAAACTCAGCACATGGACTTGTTTGCTCAACATAACTCCATATTGAAAATACCTTTCCATTCAGTCAGTTACGACATTAAAATGTAAAGCAAAAGTAGATCTTGCAATAGACGACCGTAACCAAATGGAACAAAACGTTACATTTGCATTCAGGCTTACCATGTACTGTATACATGTCCCATAAATGCGTGTTACTCACTTTGCATCCGGAACCTTATCCCTGTGCTCTGTGTGTGTCTTGTGTCTCTGTGTGCAGGGGTCAATGCTGTGCTGGGTAATCGTTATGTCTGGATCATGAATCGTGGCCATGCCTTTTTCCGTGTTCCCTCTACATGCCCACATTATCATTGTTTGCAAATAATATACAACACATCTGTACATAAGATATGGGGTTTTCAAAGCCTAACACTGTAGTCCCCCCCACCCCCACCCCCACCCTTTTGTTGACTTGCTTAGTTGTGCATTAAGTTGATCAGATGTTACCATAGTGAGTTTCTGTGCCTTGGTCAGGAGGGACAGTAACTGTGACCCACAGACCACACTGAACCTCTGCCTGTAGACACCTCATTGTTACACTTTATGCTTTTTACTGTCGCATAATTCCTTTAGAATGGATATTTGTTTGGAGTATCATCTGATACCTTGATAAAATCACAAAATGCACTCTCTGCCCCAACAATAAATGTAAACATATGGTCAAGGTATATATCTAAGTTTTTTATCCAAATATACTCAACATAAATTTGAGTCACTAACAATCATCAGCTGGATAAATGTCTGAGCAAGACAATGGTCTGATCCTCATTCCCCGTCACTTTTCAGAATACATCTAAGGGCTTATTCTATTCTGTCCTATTCTGTTCTTAATTATGTTAAAAACAACAAAGTTGCAAAGTGAGGAGTTGGTCCGTGCAATCAGAGGCTTGCCATGTCCAAAATGCACTTCTCCAAATAAATGAAGTACTATCTACAAGCAAAGAGGCTTCTTTCTTTCTGATGTTACTGCCTGTTTATTTGCATCTCAAGTTCACAAACTAAATGGATATTAGATATAATATATAGATGCATGACATGGAGTTAAAAGCAAGCCTCCAGTCAAATGCATTTTAGAACTATTCTACATCAGGAGAGACCTCCAAGTGTTTATATCACTAGCCCTTTGTAAGCTAAGGGGATAGCCAGAGAGGAGAGGAAGGGGGCCGAGACAGGACTTGTTCCAAACGGTCATATAATGCTCATTAAACATATGAGTTGAATTAGTGAAAAACCTGCAACGACATGTGAGTAAACAATCATAAATGTTGAATCTCCAAAAGTCTGTAGGCGTGTGTAAGGGAAACTTCTGCAGCAATGGAGAGTCAGGACTCAGAGAGACACAAGGAGAGTTGGAGCTTTGATGTCAAACACTGATGTTTATTCACAAGTATCGGCCGGAGAAATTCACATCACAAGTCACACAGCCAGAGATTCTGACTGCCCTGGTGGGTTGCCATGTCAAATCTGACCATTCTATCTCTCGATAGACCTGTTAACTAGTTTACAGATAGTTAACACTGGGAACACTGGAGATATCTCCGATATCTGGAAATACTCAATCACCTGTTTGTGGTGCTTAGAAAGCCAGCGTTCTCACAGTCATAAAACCCTCTATGACCGATAGTAAAACTGAGAATAACATCACATGACTGCATTATCACATTCTTTACGGGAGATAACGTCAACACACAGAAAAGGTTAAATATCTTAGGAGTAAGGAAGAATGATTCTTTGACAGCGTGTTTTCACCCCCCCACCACAGCCCTGGGGGTTGACAGTCTGTAAACACTCATTTCTAAATTGGATTTGGCATAGTACACTGTTGAATACCTCGAGGACGCCAACACATCTTTTCTGGCATGCTCTCGCACCCATTTGATAATATGGAAATACTGTCTGTCTTTGTTTCTTTCAATGTTTCCTTTTTCTGCTCCACAGTACTGGGTCTATTACTGGGCCCAGTAAACAGGAAGACGAGGACTATGATGACGTGCCCATAAATAAGACATGGGTGTTATCACCGAGGGTCTACGAGAGCGATGTGACTCTGATCCTGAATAAACTGCTGGAGGGCTACGACAACAAACTGCGGCCTGACATCGGAGGCAAGTCAAGTTCATCCTCTGGAAATGTTCTTTGTTTTAACTTTGGAACCAAAAAACACTAAAGGTTTAAAAATAGCCTCTTGCAGTGGTGGTGGGTACTGCCTTTTTTGTTGCCTCGAAACATTTCTGAAATGTGAACAAGCTGCTGCTGTCTGGGGAGAACCTTGTATTCAACCTTGTTCAACTTTGACTATCTACTTTGACTAATCACCTATCCCCACAGGCCTTATAGTCTCTATAGGAACAAAACAGTCTGCTGTTTGTTGTATCTCTTTAGGTTGATATGACATACATTAACATTTTGGTCATCAGCTAACAAACATGTGAAGTTTATTCTGTCAATGTAAATGCAGTATGTTTTGTGTTATGTCTCAGTGAGGCCAACAGTGATTGAAACCGCAGTGTATGTCAACAGCATTGGACCGGTGGACCCCATCAACATGGTGAGACTGCTGCAGCTCAATCCTCTTTCAAAGCATAATAATAAATGGATATATATCCTTTATAATGCTGCCTTCTCTATGGCCTTTCTATGGAGAGTGCAGTGCCGTCTGACTACGTAGAAGTGCTTCCCTCATTGTTGCGTATTCTCAAAATTGTCGCCAAGCACAAATTTGAACTAAAAAGTTGAAATTATTAAAACGTTGTCCTAGTGTACCACTAAACTTTTTTATTCGCAACCTATAAGATGACAGTTTTATGAGGCATCACAAGCTAGCAGGGGACCTTGCCATAGAACAAAACGTAACTAGCTGCTCTGCGCCAAACCTCGCGCACCTTAATGTTTAAAACAATGAGTGGCACTGAACCAAATCTCCATTAAGAGCATCCTATTCTCAACCTGGTATTACCTCGTTAAGCTAATTATCCAATCGCTATTTAAACCGGTGGTGAGAAGATACACTTAGCTTCTCACTGCTAACATTCCTACCCTGCTTGCTCTGGTATAGCACCAGACTGTATAATTATATCGCCCCATGCTGCTACCAGTCATGTCCGTTAACAGCAGCTCTCTTGCTCCCTGTGCACTGGGTACGGGTGCTCGGAAAACTTGTGGGTCCTTGAACAATAAATCCTAAGGGTCTGTTTATTTATTGGCTAGAGAAACCAATAGGAACCTTAAAAGATGTTGTACACACTATCCCTTTAACATAGGGGTGGGGAACCTTTTTCCTCTCAAGGGCCATTTCAATGTTTACAACATCCTCCGAGGGCCGTACAAATTATTGAACTCAACGTCTGCTTAAAAAAACTAAAATCACAGCCCATTCATTTGGCCTTTCTTTCATGCTGTGCAAAGAAAAAGCAACCTCTTAATCTAGATATCTTACCATGACTCGTGCATGCATGCACGTGCACGGTGTGGCATGACCACCAAAACAGAAAGATATGGACACAAGATGTGTGCAAATGTATTTAGTTTCATATCCATGTTTTAAGTGTTGGGTGGACCTAACCTCCTCTAGGGGGGTCCGGGGGCATACCCCCCGGGAAGATTTTATTTAAAATGTTGAAGTTAAAAGCATCAATCTGGTGCACTTAGAGAGCAAAATGAATAGATCTACAGTATGGATACATCTCTCAACACCCATATGAAACAGAACTGTAAGCAGATTTTATTTTTCTTTATGGATATTTTACAAATCACTCCCCTTTCAAACTGTATTCTTGTTTATTAATAACTTTTTTTTACTGTCATATAGTATTTCATACCTGTTTACTTTATTCTCTTATTTTTGTATAACTATAATGATCATATAAAGATGTGCCTTTACCTCACTGGTTGTAGAAAAAGCTTCTTATATTCGTTAGCATAGCTAGCTAACCAGATGCTAATAACAACAAAATTATTGACTGTATGATCAGTATGACAGATGAACAGATCACCACTGGGCTTTCAAATAAAGACACAGCCACGCACAAACTGCGGCATGTGTACGGCTCCTTATGGGTACTGCAATTTCTGAAGTTCTGGAGCGGCGTTCTGGTGCTCTCCGTCAGAACTGCACCCCTCTCAGACGAGACATCTATACCACGTGATGACACGTTTGTCTCGTGTTGACTTCAAGGACCCTGACCTAGGCCAAGAAAAACAGGCACTCGCTTGTTTAATTATTTTGCAGTCTAGATTTCTTTAATTTTTTTTCTTTTTTGCGTGTGTTTATAAATTACCTTGAGGGCCGTACCAAATGGTCCGTATACAGCCCGGAGGCCTGAGGTTCCCCACCCCTGCTTTAACATTACATCCTTAAAGAAGTAAAACAGCAGCTACAATGTTATGAAGTCATCAGGATTCATTCTCTGCCATTGGTTTAAGTACAGACAATAATGGTACCAAAACCATCTAATGAGTTCCTTCTTTCCAACTACCATAAGACAAGAGCACATATATTTGTCTCATATACAGAGATATTTTATAATGTTGACCTGATGATGGCGCTACATGAAAAGTCGGGATAAATAAAGTGAATACAATTCCTCCTGAGGAAAACACATGTGTTTGAAACAAATTCCATATAAATCCATCAAATCCAATAATTGTTCTTTGGCTCTGAGAAATCTAAGATAAACGTTGAGATATCTTCTATTGTTTTTTGTTTAATTGGCCTTTTGCCCATGTTTTATCCAACTTTGTTTCAGGAGTACACCATTGACATCTTCTTCGCCCAGACATGGTACGACAGCCGACTGAAGTTCAACAGCTCGATGAAGCTGCTCATGCTCAACAGTAACATGGTAGGCAAAATCTGGATTCCTGACACGTTCTTCAGGAATTCTCGCAAATCGGACGCCCACTGGATCACCACTCCCAACCGCCTCCTGAGGCTGTGGAGCAACGGCAGAGTCATGTACACACTGAGGTAGGACCAGAGGGCAACCAATTAGCCAACATTTTAAGTAGCCATTTAAAATATTATCAACTATTTAAAAAATATGTGTTGTTTGTGCAGCTTTAGTGTTTGCATCTGTATCTGTATCATTTTCTGTCTTGATTTATTTAGGTTTAATGATCTTTGAGTACTATGTTGAGTCACATTTGGGAGGAAAAAAACCAACGCTGAGATTTGCTTTTTCTCTGTCACAATTCTGTTTTTGTCAGGTTGACTATTAATGCGGAGTGTTACCTTAAGCTGCATAACTTTCCAATGGATGAACACTCGTGTCCACTGGAGTTTTCAAGCTGTAGGTTGTCAAACGTTTTCCCCTTCCCATTCTCGAACCCGCCATCTCGACTTCAACTTTCGTAAAAATGGCCAGAGAGAGGAGCTTCTGTGTGGGCTAGGCCATTGTTCCTTCTCCTTGCCTAAATGCCCATCTGCTTGAGGCTGCCCTCTTTAAGCCTGTACCAATCTATCATCTGCTCCACCGGTCGAGAGAGGAGGTCACCCAACCCCATTTTCCCTGACAGACTTAATGAATTATGCACCTTCTCCCAGTCTGATTCATGCTGTCTGTGTCATCCTTCATTTTTCTCTCGCATTGTGCTTTAGCTTCTCCCGTCTTGTCATGATCTTTATATTCCACTCAGTATGGAAAAATACAAAGACCATTCCATGGAGTCAAGAACAAACGCCAGGACCAGTACAGTCCCACTAAATGTCATCAAATGAGCTCAAACCAGGGTTAATTTCCTCAACTAAGACTTCTTATCAACTCAAGACATCTCATCAAAATAAATGTGTTAGTGTTCCTAAAAAAAACAAAACAAAAAACACATATTTCTTATTAGCAAGCATCCTCTTGTACTATTCTCTACCTAGCAGGTAGACTGATATTGTTTACCAATGCAACATCTTTAAAACAGGAAGATATGATCAGAAGTCAAAGCTTGTGACTTTTTTTTTTAACATTAAAGCATGTCACAGTAGAGGCATAACATATAAATATGAACCTGAACATTAGCACAATAGGGCCCCTTTAACCATAAAGGCGGCATATCAAAAAGCATTATATTTTGAAACCTTGCAAACATAATACATTGTATGTAAAATAGTCAAATTCAGAAACACTCAATTTAAAGTGTGAAGAATTAAATCAAAAATACAAAAAATGTGTGCATGTCCAAAGACAAATGTTGTATCGCCTTAATGTACGAATCAGGTAAAATAATGACTTATAGACTGCAGATGTTAGCTAGTGCTTACTCCCAGGAATTACACGGCCTTCTATTAACTACTAAAGTACTGTAATGCACAGAATGTTCTGAATATGAAGAACTCTTGCTCATTTGAAAAAGTTTCATGAGACTGGGCAGGTCAGTTCCATCGTGAATGTTCCATTTGCTTTGCCATGGTGCAATGTTCCCTTGTGACATACGGCATATTGAAGGACAGAAAGGCATCAGTAAGGCTTCTTATTCATTAATGATGTGTCTGTGTTGTGGGGTTGGGTTCTGTAGATGGTTATCCTAAGAATGAGATCATGTACCGGTGGCAGAGACGGGCAGTGGAGGTGGCAGATCAGCGCTTCTGGAGACTCTACCAGTTCGCCTTTGTAGGGTTGAGGAACACTTCAGATGTGGCACACACCCAGTCAGGTGAGAGTGTATTGGCCATGTCCTATTACATGCTGCCAGTCCCAGTTTTACATGTAGTACTGATAGCATAATAATTCAGATTTTGGATTGGATAACCGTTACCTGCAATGGGTAACATTAAAACGAATCTCTTCACTCATGCCCTTGACTTATCGTATTTATCTCTTCACCCACCTTAATGTTTAACTTTCAGGTGAATATGTAATCTTGACAATCTTTTTTGACCTGAGTCGGAGAATGGGCTACTTCACCATCCAGACCTACATCCCCTGCAGTATGATCGTGGTCTTGTCCTGGGTCTCCTTCTGGATCAACAAAGATGCCGTTCCAGCCCGCACATCTCTAGGTTTGACATTTTCCTATTACATATTCATACACTGTTAAACAGAGTCAGAATGGCATGTGCCTTTTTCTGGAATGATGGTTGGTTGGTTGGTTGGTTGGTTGGACCGTCAATCAAACCTGATCAAACCACACTCACACAGTCCTGTTGAAGCAGGGCAGCTGTTTGTTTTTTTAATTGTTGACAGTTTCAACACCCCCTTTTGAAAAGATTCAGATTAGTCAGACTAGATGTTAAAACATTTAAGTAATTTATTTTCAGCTCATACATCTCAACACCCAAAGATTGCCAAATGTAGGGGAGGACTGACAACATCCCAAACGGTGTAACTCTTTAAATGTTGAAACTGCAAAGACTTGAGGGATGGCATCATCTCAATGTATTTTGTAAAGGATGGGCTGTGTATCCTAGGCTAAAGGAGATAACAAGGGAAGCATTGAAGCTCCTTTTCTTATCATCAATAATATTTGAACAGTTCTTATCATGGCTGCCACTTCGGAACTCCTTTGTCATTTCTATCCGTAAGGAACCTTTCCCTAAGCAAAAAGACTATTGGGCAGGGAAAAAAGAGGAATAGCAGGAGGAGAAGAAACACACATGCACTTTAGGGGCTGGCAAGTAACATGAGTCTTCATAATAACACCTGATTGTTGTAAGTGTAATGTAAGTTTATTCAATGATACCCAGGAAGAGGTAATGGTTTGACGCTTTAAGAAGACTCTTGATGTGGTGCCATTTATCTGTCCAAACTAAACCCATTCCAGTCCAAGTTTAAGGAACTCCTCACATCGTCATTTCAACAGTGCTTTTGCTGTTACATACATATTCTGACAAATTCTTCATGAGAAAGTATTTGATATTCCACCTTAACAATCCATTTAGGTATTACTACAGTGCTGACGATGACTACTCTAAGCACCATCTCCAGGAAGTCCCTGCCTAAGGTGTCCTATGTCACTGCCATGGATCTGTTCGTCTCCGTTTGCTTCATCTTCACCTTCGCTGCCCTCATGGAGTACGGCACTCTGCACTACTTTACCAGCAACAGACCGACCAAGAAGTCCAAAGTCAACAACAACACACAGGTACCCAGCACGCACTCCTTTCTTCTTCTTTCTTTTGAACCAAATGAGTCTAATGGTAACATACTGAAATATGTCTTTGTTTCCCTCCACAGCAGAAAGCATCCAGCATGATGAATCTCCGCCCCGGCACGTCCCTGCTGCAGATGAACAACATTGTGCCCTATCACGAGGAGGAGGACTATGCTTACGAGTGTTTGGATGGAAAAAACTGCACCAGCTTCTTCTGCTGCTTCGATGACTGCCGCTCAGGTGCCTGGCGTGAAAACAGGATGCATGTGCACGTTTCCAAGATTGATTCATACTCGCGAATATTCTTTCCCACTGCTTTTGGCCTTTTCAATCTGGTTTACTGGATTGGATATCTGTATCTATAAAACCAGAACATCTAAAAAAAGACGACTGGAGTTTAACATCTGCAAGCATTTAAAAGCATAGCTGCTATTGTAGCATTAGGAATATTAGCTTTGTTGGCAAACAAGAAAACCAAATTGCAAACTAATTATGAATGAACTCTGTCCCTACAGCCTAAGAACAATATGGATATTTCCTATCCCTAGTGAATAATGCATTAATGATTATTGCGACTCATTGACCTTTTCGTCTGGCACCAAAATGAAGATTCCTCTTTACATGCATTTTAAAAAGCTAAAGGATTCATTTCCATAAAAAAAATTCTGGATTTTCTCATTGGCAGGGGATTGATTCCATTTGATATGAGCCTTAACCGTGAAATGGAAATTACATACTTGAAGATCTTCCCTTATGGAATTGCCTCACTCCCAAACTAAAGGGGACACGACTTTCCTTGTTGGTCGGCATAGCAGATTATGTAGATTAAGTCTGCCATTTTCACTAGTGTTTTGTAATTGAACTATTAGGTAAGAGCCCTGATTATATAATTCCTCTAACATTGGGATCTTAACATTAAGGTAAACCTAAAAACTAAATAAAGCCAAATGAAATGTTTCCTTTGTCAACTAAGTTATTCATGTTAATAGCTAAATCCCCTCCTTCTAGATCTAAGGCTTACCACACTCTTAGTGCGTGTGTCTGCATAGCATTAACTTCTGGCTCATTGTGTGATAGACACGCATCGCCCCTTTGCTTTTTATTATCTGTTTTTACAATGCTTTGGAGAACTGGATACGTCATTAGGGACATTTGATCAGTGTCGCATTGAGCCAAAATGACCTGCCTATCGAGAACAAAAACACCTGGATCATCCTGGGTCTTGGAACCATAGAGCATGCACACTTGCTCTCTCTCTATCGAGAACAATTGAGAAACTGCACCTGTCATTCTTATTTCATCAGGAAAGGGCAACATAGCAAAGGAAAATGTAGGCCTGAATCTGAAACTCCAAACTTGCAAATTTTGGAATTAAAACCTCCTCATATTTAAATAGGACAATCATTTGAAAGGCTTTTTTAAGAATCAGCAGTTTTGAAACTTGATTCAAATTGGTTTGCATTCTGTGAAACCCTACCCACAGCAGCTTTGAATGCAGAAATGTTTGCACGAGTTAGACTCCAGTCTAAACAGGAGATATTGCCATCAAACCTAAAAAAAATTACACAAATGTGTGTTTACTCTTTGCCGCTGTGCTATTGATATTGTTGAGAAGCAGGATAAAGAGGCCAATAAGCTCTTATTATTCTTTATTGATTTGCAGGAATGTGGGGTACTATTGGTCACTTCAACACCAGAAGGGAACATACCTTTAATGTTCATAGGGTTCTATTTTTCTAGGCGACACCTCACAGCGTTCTGATTGGTGGGGTCCTACATGGAACGCATTTATAAAGTTATTCAAACAGTGAATTCATGAACAATGATGTATGTTTTCAAAGAGCCAGACTTTATACTCTGATATATCATATGTCATAAGACTGACCGTTGACAGGTCAGGACAATGGTCATATACTCTTTAATTCAGTAGTCAAGTCCTATTTCGAGATTGATACAGCAAATTGATTTGGTTTCTGAAAAGGTTTGAGAAAAGAATGTCCTTTACTAATTATAAATGACTTATATACAGTTCTGTTGCATGTAAAAGACTCACTGTGTGGACAGATATGGTTGCCACCCTGCAAACCACCTGACACACAAAATGAACAAACATATCTCCAGCAACATCCTCTCAGAATTACTCTACATCTAATATAGTGTGGGCACTGGGCAGCCACCATCATAACAGAAGAATGTACTATTATAGACTTCAAACTGATTTGTTCCCCTCCATTTCTTACATATTTGATCCAATCCCAGTTTACTATAGATGGACATCATCAGGTTGAATCATTTTTCAGATTCTAGTCAGTTTGGATCAATTCAAAGATTAAGATTTACCTTTAAATCACACCACAAAGAGATTGCATGAACATTCATTACAGCGCTGTCTCTGACACGTTTTTTTATTCAGATGCAAGTTAAGACTGTTGCTGGATCCAACTGTTCCTTCACTTCAGCACAAATCAAACCAACCAAAGTAACCACCTTTCTGTTCCAACTCTCATGATTGTTCCTGCGGCTAACTTTCATTAAGCTAACCAGGAAGTAAGACTTATGACAAAGCAGAGCGAACAATGGCATTTTCACTTGATAGTGATGGGAAAACAGCCTATCTGTACAGTGATACAAATCTCAAGCACTCAATCCATAAGTTATGATTAAATGAGCAGCACCAGCAGTTCTTAACAAGACGCTAAGAGTGTGTTTGTTAATAGTCACAGTTCGTGAACAGGGAGCACCGTTCGAATGTTCGGATATTCAGAATGGCTCACCCCTCAAAGCTGCAGAGCGTACAGAAAAGTTACTTTTAAGCCCAACTAATCAATAAAACATTTTGATAGCTAACATTTTGTTAGCTGTAGCCTACACTTTCTTATTTATTTCATAGGCACATGTTTCATCATCCTCACTGATACATAAAGAGGCAACACATTTTTTAAATATACATGTCAAAAGGAAAATGTATTTGTGTAGAAATAGAATGCTTGGTTTCTTTGAACAGTAACATTATCATTTTAGCGTAGAGCTTCAGATCGGATAAACAAACAGAACCTAAGAGCAAGTCTCCCTGACGGTCATCTCTACATGCTCTGGGACAAACAGTAAGGAAGGTTTGTTCAGGGGGAAAGTGAGGTAATGTCAGCTACTGCAGGCCATACAATAATAACCCAAAGCATCATCATTATTTTCTCTGCAGCTCAGTACAGAAAGTATAAGAGTTTTTGCAAAGTAAAAGATTTCGTAAGCTGACAGTGTTTTATGGAATACGCAAGGTTGTCAGTATTTAAAATTGTTGCCATTATTGGAGAATATATACCATAACATACATTTTAAAGTACAGCATTACATTTCATGGAAATGTATAAAAGATCCAGGTTCCAGCCCTAAAACAACTGTACTCTTTTTAGATCTTCTGTAACTATACTGTACATCCATACATCCTAATTCCTTTACACTCTGACCCAGGTGAGTATTACTTCAGGTATCTTTCTCATGCTCTAAAATGTAGGAATGGAAATGTGAGACATGCAGATACAGGGAGAGGAACATGACACACCAACATCAGCCCTTAACAAAACCACAGACAAGAGGTTTTTGAACTTTTTCACAAACACCAAAGAACTGTCGTAAACAGTGGCATGTCCTGCCCAGTTCTAATTGCTGCACATATGTAAAACATCAAGTAGTCTTTTCACATAAAACAGCATTTCTGCATTGTTGAGATTCCATATATGTTTATAAAATGTTCAAGGTGACACTATAGTTATTAATGAACTGACATTTCAGTAAAAAGTCATGTCTGAGGTGTATTCAACCATGCAAAACTAACAAGGAATGTACTGATAGCTACATTCATCTATGCAAACATGAACTGTGTTGCAGTTGTTTTCTTACGGTGTGGTAACTCCTTATTGAGTATTCATAGGATAATTAATAAGAACACCTGATTCATGTATTAGAAACATTTGACACAAAAAATATCTGTATTTTGTTTTTCTACTCAGCTCAAGTACTACAGTAACTCCACTTCCAAAACACCTAACCCAGTTTTAATACACGGCATACCAAACCAATTTGTGTTCTTCAGATGTCCCTCCTCAATATTGGTACACCTTGCAACCAGGGTGCAACTAAATTAGTAGAAATTCCAGAACACAAATGCAAAAAGATTTGGTTATAATAGAGATAAACATGTTGTCCTTACTGTTGGTGCGTTCACACCGGACGAAAAGCCAATGTTTTGCGCGTCAATGCAAAGAAACAGATGTTGCTGTCTGCACTGGCGTACTGACGTTGTTGAATTAGAAAACAAAACATCAGCCTTTGGCTTTGCGCGTCCTGTTTGAATGACTCGAGTAAACACAACTGAGTGCCATGGTGAAACTCGTGCGAGCAGGTGATAACCACCTTTAGGGTTAGGGTTATGTGCATAAAGCATTTCCACAGCACAATACTTCCAGCATTTATCAATCTGCTGTTCTCAGTTTCTTCTTTTAACAAATACTGCCCTCATTAACTAATTCAATGCAGGTAGTTGTACTTTGCAATTCCTGCAAGTTTTTTCAAATCAAAGCCTTCCAGTAGCTTAAAGGGTATACTGCATACCCCTTTAAATAGCCGTTTGGTGTGAAGCACTCAAAGTAAGTGTTTGGTTTCGATATTAGTTTAACAATGAAACAAATAAAATAGCAATCGGAATTTGTTAGAAAAATCTCACTCGTCACCGGCTTGGTCTTACATACCAGGATACATGTATTTATTATCCTTTCAAGAATGGAAGTAGTCATCACACACAGAGGCTGCATGGGACAGAGAGTGTTACACAGTCACAAGTTGCAGAATACAGGTTCAAAGCAGTATTCTGGCCTTAGTTCAGATTAGCTAAGGCCCACGTAAACAATAAACATGACAGCCATATGTCTATCTCCATAGAGGCTGAATCATCATGTTAATCACATAGCTATCATATGCCTCAAACAGTCCTGATGCTCTTCTAGGTAATCAGACATCCGGTTATGTACACAGCTACGTAGGGCCTTTGCTATCATGTGCTACTCTGATATTAGAAGAGCACATTCAGTATCTTCCCAACAGAATTGGAAGGGAGTTGACACAGCATTTATTTTTCATTGGATTTTATTATGCATATCGTCCTGACCCAATCAGAATAATAAAAGAATGTGTCCCACAATATTCACGAAACTAAAAAGAAGAGACATTTCACAAATGTAATCCAACATTTTATAAACACTGACCAAAACATTAGTTAATGCAACTCACACCCATTGTATCTAAAGAGAAACTGGAAGCAGCAGTGTGACAACTTTAAAATGAACTGTCGAAATGAGTGCTGTTGAAATGCTTCGTACATAACGAATGGATTACTGAATTTATGTGACCCAATATAGTGTTTTTATTCAGATGCCTTTCAGTGTTTCTTTGTTAAACACAGCTTCAATTTAGGATACTTTGTATTGGTTTGTACTAGCCAAACATAGCAGATGTTTTAATTGAAGAATGATTATAGGCTAGTTTAACTACCCACCAGTAAACTCTGTCCACACACACATTCACCAGAGTCTGGTTCACTTTGAGTCTCTACAGCCAAAACACACACAGTTCCTCTTACCTCTGCTGCAGTCAAATCTTTTAAGAAGTGTTGCTGCTTCCTTTCACATTATTCTTTTAACGTAGCAAAAATAAAACAAGGAGCATGTGCAATTGGTACATATTCTTCTAATGTAGCACAGCAGGCTGGCTATTCCAGTTATACTGTACCAAAAGGAAATTCTATAGATACATGGGTTTCAAATTATCATAATGACAGTGCTTTTAAAGATAGCATTTTAATAAAGTGTTGGTCTTATATCTTTTTTCACTAAATGCATATGTTCATATTTGGGGATATCAATTAAAATTAAAAAATGTAATGTGCTTAAATATTTATACCACAGATTACATCAAGCATTAGAAAAAAGCAAGCACCATTTGCTTTTCAGCGCTTCTTTGCCCAAATGTTGTAGCCGCGCTGCTGATTATATTAATTGCAGAGTATAATTTCAGGTATTTTTGCACGTTTTGGCAAAGCTGTGTCTTAGGGTTAGCTCTGTGGGCTCATGCCTACTTATGGCAGGAGGGTCCATTAGACTCTATAGGGCCCTTTGTTCCCCCAGTGGCAAAACTCATCTGTCTTGGCTTAAAAAAACGATTGTTTTCATAATGTATGTATAAAAAACAAGTTTATATGGCTTTTAATCTTTGTAAAGTGTAACTCAAATGATTCATCTAAGTGCTTCACAGGTTGCTCTGTAACTCCTGTAAATGTCTGACATGTTGCATATCCAATCCTGTAATTAGCTGTAGACTTCAAAAATCAAATGCTGTATTTGTTCAGCCCGACAACCTCAACATATTCAATGATCCTGTGAAAAGGAGAGCAGGGTTGTCTGTTATACTAATTGCTAATAGGCATACTGCTATGTATTGCATTCAACTCAAGCAATATAAACACATATCATCTGTGTACAATGTCATTCTCTGTAAATGTTATTCATACTGTATTGTGACTAACAATTCAAAACACTGTGAAAATAAAGCAGTGCCTGGAAAAAGTCAAATCAATGTTGTGAGACTTGTGTTGTATGGGCCCACGGTTGCTCAGGAGGTAGATGGTCTTACTACAATTGGAAAATCGGTTGTTCCATCCCCTGCAGAAACACGTCGATATGTCCTTGGGCAAGCCACTTAACCCAAATTGGCTCCCAACAGTGTGTGAGTGTGTGTGAATGTTAGTCTCCCTGAGCAGGTGGACCTTTGTATGGCAGCCTCTATCACTGTATGAATGTGTGTGAATGTTGTGAATGCTGACTTGTAAATGTAAAAACATTTAGAGGGGTAGCAGACTGGAAAAGAGCCATATACTGTACATTTTGTCCATATTCTATTTAAGTAGAAAAGACCAAGTCACATATTATTGTCTTTTATATAAGACTGTTGATTGGAAAAGGGACCCTTTTCTTTGCCTTGCATGCAAAAAAGGTACCATGTGCCATAGCAAACCATTTGGACACAGTAAAAACTCCTATAGTGAGTAGATTATCACTCTCAGTATGGCCAGTTTGAACTGACTCAACATTTCCCATCTGCCTATTTTTAAATCTCAGGTTCCTAATTTGGACAACTGACTGTCCTTCAGTGAGAATCCATTAATATAGGAATGTCAGACCTTGGCTTTGATTGACATATCTTAATTATTTAATAGATTGTCATGAAATCCACTAAAGGTATCTCTTCAATTTGTTTCTCATAAGCTTTTTATTCAGTGCCCTGAGGTCTAAATGTAAATGTGTCCAATATTTGGTTTATGGATTATAGGGTTAGGGTTACCTGCATATACCTGCTAAACTGGAACATTCCCATTAACCCTGGGCCACTTTGTTACTGCTAATTAGCCAATGTTAGCATGCTAACATGTCTACCTAAGATGGCAAAGATGATTAACATTATACGTGAAAATAATCAGCACTCTTAACACTAGAACCGCCAACGGGTACATTTTACCCGCAGCTGTTTTTTGATTGTATGTAACTTTTTTTCAATAACATATTAAAGTCTCCCAGTCCGTGACTTTTCCTGAAAGTGTGTTATGTAGCACCCTCTGTTGTCAGATTGAAAAAATCGCCAAGAAAAATGCCATGTAGATATCCGCCAGCGGGTAATATTTACCTTTTGTCTACTGCGGTTCCTTATAGATAGAGAGATAGATTGAGAGAGAGAGAGATAGATAGATATATTGATGGATGGATAGAGAGAGAGAGACAGACAGACATAAATAGTTATAGATAGTGTAACATCTTGGAGAATACAAGATCTTGGATGACTGAGCTCACGTTGAGGACGTAATGCATGTGTGCAGGGGTCCTTCTCAGGTCGATTAAATGGAATCCTTGCGTCACTCATTTGCGTAGTTTCCCTGCGTTTAGTCCCTCCCTTACGGTGGCTGGGAAGTGAAATGAAAATAAATAAGGAAATGAAAATAATCGACCTGCGGAAGTTGATTTGTCTGCGCCATCTTGAATAGCGTCCCAATGGCCTTATTTCTGCCGGAGGACCGAGGAGCGAGGAGCGATAATGGAGGAGCTATAACCGAGGAACCACCAGACCATCCTTCGATGAAATCCTCAGACACTCGCCCCGCCCCCTTACTGTGTATCGCTCACTGATTGGACGATGCAGCGCATGCACTGATCTGATGCTTCTTGACATGAGAGCAGTTTCCCAGCGGAGTGAAGAAAATACATGAACCTCACGGGAGTCACTCCTCAGTTTATACCGTGTTTTGTTTCAATTCATGTTTCATTTAGTTACAAATATGTGATATATCTGAACAACAAAGTGGTCAAAAATCATTTTATTCATTTATTGGAACCATTTTCATGATCGCTTTTTTCGTTTTACATTTTCATGTATTGTCATTTCCATTCAGTCAGTCATTAAGTGCTATTGAAATGTTAATGTGCTACATATCCACACAAACAAACAAAGTGTGCAATCCAATGAATGTTAATCTAACTGGGTTTTGATAGATAACATATCTCTTTTTCTTCTCTGAATTATTTTATTTATTTTGTGCACTCTAATCAATATTAATCAAACTATTGTTCGTCTATACATTTTAAGAATGGCGTTTATCTTTGTTGAGAATTAGTTCTTATTTTATTTAATGTATTTGGGTCTACAACAGATGATACAAAGGTTTGTGTCAGTAAATGTGTACTAACAGAGGCGGGGGTGTTTGTGAAATTATGGGGACAGAGCTGCTGTCAGACGATCAGCTGTGCGGCGTCATCACAAACGGACGTCGCTTCACGTGACGCTCCGGAGGAAAGGACGTCCCATTGCTCTTAAAGCTCATTTCCCTGCTTCTCGTGGTTTCCTTGCGTCTCTCCATGCTTCCCTGGTGGGAGGGACTAGTCGCAGGGAAACGACGCAAGTGAGGGACGCAAGGAATCCATTTAACCGAAGTGAGAAGGGCCCCAGGTTAGTGCCAGTTGAATAAAGATGGACACTCGGAATGAGAGAAGTAGTCCGCGTCGTCTGTTTATATAGACAATTATATGTCCATACAACAGAACATTGCAGATAGATAGATAGATAGTTATAGATAGATAGAGAGATTTGTACCTAAACAAAACACAAGTATAACACCAAGCGTTTAAATCAGCACTCTTAGCGATATTTTATACTTCATGCTATCTGCACAAACTATATCATATGAAAAGCTGAGAGTCCACAGATTATATTGGTATAAATGTCATCCCTGTGCGATCAAAACTCACTGCTCTGTATGATAAATAAAAGAACATTGTACCTTGAAAATCAATAGTGGGTACATTTTACCCGTTGGGGGTTTTATTAAAGCATGCTACTGTTAGCATAGGGTGACCAGACGTCCCCGTTTTCCAGGGACAGTCCCTGTTTGTATTGGCCTGTCCCCGGTTGAAACTGTCCCCGCAAATGTCCCCGTTTTTTTATATACGGTAAAAACACATAGCAAGGTGAAATGTAACACTGGGTAAACAGACTGTGGTCAAGCCAGCCCCCACTTCGGAAAACACAGTCAAGCCAGCCCGCACGTTGTATTGCGGTGCGCGAATATCCTATTCATTACGGTAGAGGCCTGTAAAAACTGCCTTCAAAATAAAAGCGTTTACTCGGTCAATAACAAATATACCTAAAAAACACACCAAACATATTCATATATACTGGAGCTTAAATTAAGAAATATGTACTATATAATGTGATAAATAATAATTTAAAACAAACTACGTATAACTACCACATTATAACTGAGTGAATGTAAAATGTAAGGATACAGTTATGAAGACATATCTGACATTTCCACTGGGTGACTAATTTCAATTGATGTTGACACCATCTCACAACACTCCTAAAATAACATTACTTTCTGAAGCACAATTTAAAATGTATGCTGTTTAAAATCTCAAATTAGATCTATTGTCCATCTATATTTTGATTATTATTTAATGTAAACCGTCCATAATCAAAGAGTCATTCGAAGTCAATCAAATACTTATTTCACTTCAGGGTGATAGCAGGAGACCCCATCTAGTCATTCAGAGAAAATCAGGACAATTTGATGTAGAGTTTCAAAATCAAATACTTTTGAAATCTTATATGGGCTATCGTCCTTCTGTTTTTATACAAGAATAAATAAAAAACTGTCAAATTATCAAAGACTTATTTCACTCCAGGGTGATAGCAGGACACCCCATCTAGTCACTCAGACAGAATCAGTACAGTTTCAAAATAAAAGACCTGACGTCTCATATATGAGCTATCGTCCTTCTGTTTGTATCCAACAGTTCAAATGTTCGAATTACATTGAACCAGAATTGTCTCCCTTTTTTATTTAACAGTGAAGAAAATTGGATATGTTAATGATATATTGACCGCAAAACTAAAAATGTCCCGGGTATTCATTTTGAAAATCTGGTCACCTTATGTTAGCATGACTGTTGACACTCAGCTTTGTTGTTTTAAAACCTTTTAAAATGTAACAACAATTACTGTAAATGATTATATAATTATTTATTATAATAGATGATTTGTATATGTTCATCCTTTCTGGTCTAAAGCACAACTCTACATCCTTGGGTGGAGAAAACTTGCTTCAAGCTAGGCTAACAGCTTTAATTCCAGCTGAAGGCCTCTCTACTTTTCAGCAAAGCACATTTTATATATATATATATATCTGAAAACCCCCAGTTACAAATGTGTCCTTTCTACAACTAATGACAATGGCCCTTTGACATTGTAGTCTATTATTCTATGTATGTATTAGTATTTGATCTATTTTAATTTCAAACTATTCTGCTTTTTTATTTTACATTTTTCAGTCAACTTTATTTAGTTTAAAAAGTGCTGCTGTATACAGCATATATGAAGTTTGCTATTACTCATACGGTGCTTGAAAAGGGAGTGGGGGGGGGGGGGGGGGGGGGGGGGGGTGTAACATTTGCTGACTTGATATTTGAGCGGTATGCGTCACAGCCTGAGCACATCTTGTCAGCAACTGTTAACACCTAGTTATATAATTATTTGGGATTGGGATTACAGCAGGATCTGACTGGAAAAATGCACCTGTGACTTTATCTGTCTTGATCTGAAAAATAACCACAAAGAACTGACAGTTCATGGACATACGTTACATTTTGGTGCTAATACAAGGTGCTAAGACATAGAATTAGAAAAGCAAAAATCCAATGAAAATACAACCATACTGTGGAAATAGAACATTAAAAGAGGCTATATAAAAGATTCAAATATATTTAGTAGATAAGGATAATGCTAGTTTGCAAATGATTCATACAATCTCAATTTATAGTCATCAGTTATTCCAAAATATACTTTAGTATACAGGGCTCAACGCTAACCTTTGGGTATTTTGGTTGCCAAAACTGAAAATACGGTTGCCATTTTTAGTCACCTTATATTTTAAGTAATTAAGATACTATACTATTATACATCAACTTAATAATGAACATGTGACACAAAATAATGTTCAAATGCTTTACATTAAAGGTGGGGTAGGTAA